CATTTTCCATTTTTTCTGTAATCTCCTTAAAATCCTTTATCCATAACGTCCTTTGTATTTTGGAAAAATAGCACCATCTCCTTCAATGTTTCCCTTGATTCTTCCTTATAAAGCATTTAATTTTGTTTAAAAAAGAAATTCCACATTTGTTCGACGGTCCAAGAGTTATTTATTCAGTCCTTAGTTTGCCCTTCAAGGGGTGCACTAACCACAGTTCTTTATATCCCAAAGGTAAACAATCAGTTCCATTTGAATAGTCCCAGAGGTCATTAGAACTCTTTCAAGAGTCTTTTTAATTAAGTAGCTTGCTTATTTTCGTATTTAAATCTCCAGTAATTCTGGGGTCCTTGGGAATAACCTAATACATATTTTCATAGTCCTTCTCATATGTATTTCCAAGCTTGAGGTTTTTCCTTTTGTCAGCAGGTTGCAAAATTAAAATTTCGGTATTACCGCTCAGCAATTATCGTTTTACTTATAAATCAATTATAAAAGCAAAATAAGTTTTACAGGTAAATAATTTCTTCAAGTTTTTGTGGACTCCCCACGAGGTCCATGGATCACAAGTTGAGAACCATTGATATAGCATATTAAAATAACACAGCCATTTCACTCTTTGCCCCAAAATGTCACTCATTCTATAGATTTCTGTACAATGGGGTAAAAGTAAAAGTTCTCCTTGAACATATGTGCTAGTCGTTTCCGACTCTAGGGGGTGGTCTCCGTTTCAAAGCCGAAGAGGTCTCCATGGTCATGGGGCTGGCATGACTAAATGCTGTAGGCGCGCAGAACACTATTGCCTTCCCACCAAAGTAGTCCCTATTTTTCTACTTGCATTTTTATGTGTTTTTTGAACTGTTAGGTTGGTAGAAGCTGGGACAAGTAACAGGATCTCCCTCGGTTATGCAGAAAGGGATTCGAACCACCAAACTGCCAACCTTTCTGATCAACAAGCTCAGCGTCTTAGCCTCTGAGCCACCACATCCCATAAGTGGTTTTTTTTTAGCCTAAATTTTAAAAAAATCACCTGGGAATCAAGGACGTGGCTGCAGATGTTCGGATGGTGGAGAATGAGGTCTTCTGGCAACTGGACTGTGTGCTGATTGGACCATGTGACTGGAGACTCAGGGGGAGGGGTACCTTTAATTGGGTGAAAAACTGGGCAGCATTTAGAATTATTTTTTCACCAGGAACATGCCAACTTGATATGTCCCAATAAAACCTTCTTTGAGGAATTTGCCTGCCTCAGAGTTCTTATTAAATGGGATGTGTTACTTGGAATCCTGTCAGCCAGCTGTCAAAAATGCCATCGAGAGGCAAGAAAACAAATCAATGGCATCACTGACCAACTCAACCCAAGTTCTTACTTGTTGTACCAAAGACCAGGTCCCAATTATCATATTTTGAATACATCATGTGCAAACCAGCTTTTCCTGAAAAGTCTAAAATGCTGGGGAAATAGGAAAGAGAAGATGATGATGCCTATTGGGTGTAGCGGAGTGGGTGAACTCAAGTTACAATGTTTTTATTTTCTTTTATTGTCATGTTTAAAATTGCTGTTGTTTTTAAGATTTAATATTAAGGATGGCTTTAATTAATCATCCTGAACACAATAATATGGTAAGCGAAACTTTTAAAATAAGATGAAGTAAATAAAATGCTTGTAACTCAGCTTAGTTTAATGAACATATATAACATTGTTTGAAGAATTCCTTGTTACTAAATCAGTGTGCCCTGAATTCTGGTTCAGTTTTGACTGCAATGATGTAGTTGAAAAGTAGGTATTCTGGAAATCAATTAGTTGTTCGTCAACAACAATACTAATGGCATGTTACATGTGACTTAATTCATGCAACAGGAAGAATGTGTGGCTACATGTGAGTGCTGTTGACCTGGAATTGTAAGGAATATTTCTAGAATTGTGCTAAGTAGCAATAGCATTTAGACTTATATACTGCTTCATAGTGCTTTATAGACCTCTTTAAGTGGTTTACAGAGTTAGCATATTTTCCCCCCCAACAATCTGGATCCTCATTTTACCAACCTCTGAAGGATGGAAGGCTGAGTCAACCTTGAGACAGTCAGGATTGAACTGCTGGCAGTCGGCAGAGTTAGCCTGCACTACTGCATTCTAACCACCATGGCTCCTATGCCAAGATTATAAAGCTGCATTTCAAAATTCTTTCTCAGATTCAAAAATGAGATAGTATCTTCTTCACCTGAAGAAAATTCGCTTAAAAAACAATCACAATTGTGATTATAAAATGACAAACACGAACTGTGGCCTTCCTTCCTCAGGCACCTGGTGACCAAATCAGCCGCAAGGTGGACATAGGCTGGGAGAGTGGAATGGCCAGCAATGAAGCCCTGATTGGAAGGCACTCCTGTTGACTCAGCTGTGCACCTGGTCCTCTGAAAAGACTCTGAGTGACATTGATTGATTTGAACCTTAAATAAAGGGTTCCACCACAAAACCGTGTTCGACTAAACCGCGCTCGACGAAACCGCGTAGCTGATGTCATCAACAGCGCGACAACAGTGCAGAGACAGAAGCACGCTGTAAACGCTAAA